ATAATCCCAGCAGTGCAGACACTGAGAGAAACAATTAATAAATGGGACCTCCTGAAACTGAAAAGCTTCTGCAAAGCAAAGAACACAGTCAACAACACAAAATGGCAGCCTACAGAATGGGAAAAGATCTTCACTAGCCCCACATCAGACAGAGGTCTGATCTCCAAAATGTGCAAAGAACTCAAGAAATTGGTCAACAAAAGAACACATAACCCAATAAAAAAAATGGAGTACAGACCTAAACAGAGAACTCTCAACAGAAGAATCTAAAATGACTGAAAGACACTTAAGGAAATGTTCAACATCCTTTAGTCATCAGAGAAATGCAAATCAAAACAACTCTGAGATTCCATCTTACACCTGTAAGAATGGCCAAGATCAAAAACCCTGATGACAACTTATGCTGGAGAGGTTGTGGGGGAAAGGGAACACTCCTGCATGTAAAACTCTAGGATAACTCTAAAGCATTTCTGAAAACTCTTCTGAGCAGTAGTGCTCCCTCCTCCCCTGGGAACCAAGGACCTAACAACTTATACATACACGTACTGAAATGTTGGGAACTTTCCATCTCCCTGAATCCTTGTGAGTATTCTCCAAATAGAAATCTGTTCCTGAAATTGGGACAAGATAACCCACAGATGTCCACAGATGTTTTGACTCAGCCCCTGGGAAAGGGGCAAAGTGACCCTCAGATGTTTCCCCTTACCTCATCTGATCTGGCAACCACTCTCCAGCCAGTTACTGGTAATAGCCCTTTGAATAAGTCAATCATAATAGTTAGAGAACAACTCCCAGACTCCCCCCTTGTTTCTGTGGCTTTTTTTTTTTAAGTAGCCTGTACCAGCCATTCGGGGTCTTGTTGGCTTCTCGAATGCAGAAAGACCCTGTCATGATAGAATTAATAAAATCCTCATGCTTTTACATCCACTGTGGTGTGAGAAATGGTCTCTTGGGGCAACTCCTCCTGGTAGTTGGACTTCAGGGTCCAACATGCCTTGCTGGTGGGAGTGCAAGTTGGTACAGTCCCTTTGGATGTCAGTGTGGCAATTTCTCAAAAAATTAGGAAACAACCTTCCTCAGACCCAGTAATACCACTTTTGGGTATATATCCAAAGGATGGTCAAATTGTGCCACAAGGCCATGTACTCAACTATGTTCATAGAAGCTTTGTTTGCCATAGCCAGAACCTGGAAACAACCTAAATGCCCCTTGACCGAAGAATGGATAAGGAAAATGTGGTACATTTACTGGTACTACACAGTAGAAAAAAATAACGACATCTTGAATTTTGCAGGAAAATGGATGGAGCTAGAAAACATTATTTTGAGTGAGGTAACCCAGACACAGAAAGACAATTATCACATGTACTCACTCATAGGTGGTTTTTAAACATAAAGCAAAGAAAACCAGCCTACAAACCACAATCCCAGGGAACTTGGACAACAGTAAGGACACTAAGAGATTTACATAGATCTAATCTACATGGGAAGTAGAAAAAGACAAGATCTCCTGAGTAAATTGGGATCATGGGGACCTTGGGGGAGGGTTAAAGGGGAGAGGCAGGGAGGGGAGCAGAGAAAAATGTAGAGCTCAATAAAAATCAATTAAAAAAATAGAGACCTCAGATGCTCTGACAAAAAAAAAAAAAAACAAAAAACAAAACTGGATGTGGGGGCAGGCACTTACAACCCCAGGAATGGGAAGGCAGAAACAAGTAGAAAAAAAAAAAGAATTAAAAGGGAAATTTTTGAGCATGACATACAGCAGAAGGGAAAATTCTTAAACGCAGCAGACAAAATCAGCTGAAGAAGGGCTTTCATTAGGGGTGAGGAAATGCTTGCAGACAAGAGCAAGCACACAGAAAGGGCCCTTTGCAAAGCAAGGGGTGGATCTGGGAATCTGAAAGTCTAGCCTCTCAAGGGCTAGAGATTTTATGGGACTGGAGATGACTTCCTTTTCTAACTTAGCATAGGTCCGCTTGAACAAAGAGGGTACTTTTCTGTCTGGGAGAGTGGGCACGGCATAACAGAAGAACCCTGGAATGCCTTCCTGTAACAGGTCACAAAGCAGTTTTAGATGTGATGTAAATGCCAGTTTTGACTGAAGCACTATTTATAGATATGCAAGTGCATTTATCAAAACTCCTCTCACCACAATGAGAACAGATTTGCCCACGCCTTAGAGCTGGTTTCACAAAGCACAGTTGATGTACTTTGGAACACAAATGAGTCACGGTATCCTGTTTACCTTCCCAACACCCTTCTGGCTCGATTCCCTTCAAGGACTCAAGCTTTCTTGGGGCAGGCACCTCTCTCGACAGCCAGTGAGATTTCTGAAATCAATCGTGGTAACGGCACTCCTATCGCATCATTTCCTCTTACATTGGTCAAGGTACAGTCTGAGAAGCAAAGCCACTGAGGTGGGGGCTTCCTCTACGGATCAGGCGCTACCCAACTGTGAGAACAGCTTCAGCGGCTTCTGAAATACTGCTTGTGACCAGCTGCCTGCTAGTGCAGGAGTTTGCAACACAGGTGCAGGGAACGGAAGACAACTGGAAAGTTCCAGAAGCTAACCAGAACCCACAGACACAAGGAGGAACTGAAACCGTGACAAGTTCTTGTTTTTCCATTTTCATGGGAAGGGCCCTGAGCTAGCTAGGGTCATCCGGTGTCATGGAGCCAAAGATATACCTTTGCAGATTCAGGATTCACAGGAAGGAAAAGCAGTTGCAGGCTTACCCACTGACAAACATTAAGATCCAATACATTGGGGCTGGAGAGATGGCTCAGAAGTTAAGAGCACTGATTGCTCTTCCAGAGGTCCTGAGTTCAATTCCCGGCAACCACATGTTGGCTCACTTCTGGTGCCCTCTTCTGGCCAGCAAGCATACAGACAGAACACTGTATATATAATAAATAATTTTTTTTTAAAAAAAGATCCAATACATCTTTCATATCATTCATAAGAAATCTCTTACAACTAACCCTAAGCAAAAAGTTCAGCCCAGCCAAATGGACACAGCCATCCTACCATTTCAAATGGCTTATTACCCTCACTTCCTTGAAACTTGCTGGGTTCTCTGTAACCCAACATCTACCAGATCTTCTGACATTATCTCCCAATCTTCCACCTCTGAGGCTATTAGATTTGTTTAGTACAAATGTGCTAACTTCCACATACTGGAACAGCCTTTCTTTCTCATCTTCCCACTTATCCTGAGATTTGCTGACACTTATGTATTCAGCCTGCTTCGGGTCCTCTCTAATGCATACTGTCTTATGGCTGACAGAGCACCCGGTAAGTTGTCAGCTAAGCAAATAGATGCCAATGGACATGAATACCGATTACAGTGTCTGAGCACTAGAGATGGAGAACCACAGTCGGAGTCAATGTCATTTTAGCCTGATAAAACTAACCCAGGTGTGGTGCCACTTGGGAACCCACAGCCTGCTTGTTCTTCACGACAAGTTTGGAGTCAGCCTGAACTACAGAAAATTTGGAGCCAGCTTGTGCTACAAAGTGAGACCCTCAAGGTGGCTCAGCAGGTAAAGGTGCTTGCAGGTAAGTCTGAAGACCTGAGTTTGAGCCCTGGAACTCCTATGAAAGAGGGAGGAGAAAACCAACTCCACAAAGTTGTCCTCTGACCACCACTGTGGCACACGCACCCAAAGACATGACCCACTACCCCCACACAGATTTTGGAAACCAAGGACAAGGGGCTGGGGAGATGGCTCAGCAGGGAAGAGACAGCTGCTCTTGTAGAGGATTTGGCTCTAGGCACCCCTGTGGTGACTCACAATCATCCTTAACAGAGGTGCCAGGGGATCTGATGCCTTGTTTTGGACTCCCGGTGCACCAGGCTCACACATGGTGCGCGTACATATATGCAGGGGAAACATTAATACACGTTGTTTTAAAACTCTAAAAAGCATTAAAACAAGGACAAAGTTTTAAGTAGCATGCGGGAAAGCCGCTCATTTCTGCAGATAGGCAGATCCTCTTGACTCCGTCTCAGTGTGTGAGCCACTGGGAAAGCAGAGCCCGAGAAAAGGCAGTTTGTTTGGGGATGACTTACGGGATAGGAAGAAAAACCATAAAAGCTGCCTGGGGACAGAGTAGTGGTTAAAGATGTCTGAGCTGGGGCATGAAGCTCCATGTCACTGCGAACCCGAGGGTCTGCATGGAAGCGGAGTCCTCACTCTCCAGTAGAAGCCTCCTGCCAAACGCTTCCACTTCCCCGGTTGGGTGTCACCGCTGGGGAACTTGTTCCTCTGGCTTGAGAGAACTCCCCAAGGCAGGAAGTAGAGGGCCCACTGGCTCTTAGAGAGGGAAGCTAGTAGAACATGGCCACAGCACAAAGATAGACTGAGGGGAAAGGGGGCCTCATTTACCGAGAGTTTCTTTTTAAAAGATCTTTGTCTATTCTTCACAGCACAAATACACCCAGAATAAGAAATGCCAAACCAGTTTCACTTCCTCCTTCTGAGAAACGAACACTTGAAAGTTTGGAGAAATTCCATTATCAACACCTAGATCGGTGAACAGGTCAGCACTGGTCGACAGCTGTCCTCGGAGGATGCTGACTGATGACACACCATCCTACACGTATCATATACTTCCTATATGCTGTAGAAAAATGGTGTCCCTGGAGTTACAACATGCAGCAACACAGCCTTGCTTGGAGGAGTTGCTCTAAAAAAATCCCCGAAAAGGACAGGAGTGGAGGAAATAGCACCAAAAGTTATTTGATTCAGAGCATTAGGAAAATATAAATCAACAGTTCATGTATACAGGCTATTTTGTCCCCCAGAAAACATAAGGCAATGCCTAGAGACAAATCTGGCTGTCACTAGTTGCCACAGAAATCTCACAGGAGATGTCAAGTTGCTACAAGTACCCACAAGGCACTGGGCAGCTTCTTTCCTAGCAAAAACTACCCTACTACAAACACCAATTGTGTTAAAGACATCTGATCATTGATATTAAATATGTGTGTATTATTTACACATTTAAATACATTTAATTTGATACAATTAAAAGCCAATGTTTACATGCTAGCGATACAAAGTGTTGCGTTAGTACCACCAAACCCAAAGGAATTGGTGAGTCCAATTCGCCGACCCTCGGGTTTCCATTCCTGCGCCTCCAGAGGAACGTAATTGAGATCAAATTCTGGCTCCGTACAATCCAGGTTTAAAGTCGGTGGGAGTTTTTGATGGTAACAAGCCAGTGCGGTAAAAGCTGCCTCAGCCGCCCCTGCAGCCCCCAGCAGATGCCCGGTGGCTCCCTTTGTGGAGGATACAGCAAGGGCCCCGGCGTGATCTCTAAAGAGCCTCTTGATGGCTCTGTTTTCAGCAGCATCACCCAGTGGTGTGGAGGTGGCGTGTGCATTGACATAGGATATCTGTTCAGGCAACACACCTGCATCTTTTACAGCAGCAGCCATGCATCTAGGAAGAAAAGAAAATTATCAAATGTAGTTTAATTTTAACAGGAGATTGTTCACCTGAGGAGCTTGTGTAAAGAAATAAAGGTTTCCAAGTACACCAGGTAAGCTCCATCCTGAGTGTCATAGCAGAGACCCCATGATCCACGAAGCCAAAAATAGCTAGTATTTGCCTTTACAGGAAATCCCGTGAACTCCTGGCAGGTTTAACTTGATAAAACATAGCATGGTCTAAGCTAAGAAAGTAACATATTATCTTGGACTGTTTTCAAAATATGGTCTTTAGTCTGGAGCTAGCTAGAGATGTAGACTTCTGAGTGTCAACCCAGATGCACAGCCAGAATCCACAAGCAGCACTCTAGCAAGACCTCAGGGTGATGCAGCTGAGAAATGCCGCTCTGTAAGGAACAGAACCCACCAGACACACCTAGCAGGCTTCGTCTATATTCTCCAGGTCTGCTAAGGGTTCAAGGGGAGACTGAGGAAGGGAGCAAAATGATTGCCAAACAGGGAGTCAGCAAAGACACAGCTCTACTGGATTTGACTAAAGTCCATTCAATTTTTGTTTAAAGATGTTTGAATGTTTTCAAACATTTCAAGCAAAGAATTTTTAAAAAATACATTCAGTCTAAGATAGAAATATATACATACTATACACCACAACCAGATAACTTTTTTTAAAATTTGAATTCTAGTAGTGTCTTACAGGGGAAAAAAAAAATTTAACAGAACCAGTTTTTACCTGAAGGCACCTTCTCCTTCAGAATCAGGGGCTGTTATGTGACCAGCATCCCCTGAGAGTCCATAGCCCAGAACTTCTGCATAGATCCGGGCACCTCTCTGAAGAGCATGCACATGTTCTTCTAGCACCAGCACAGCAGCACCCTCGCCCATGACAAAACCATCTCTCTCTGGATGAAACGGTCGGCAGGCCAGCTTGGGATCTGGGTTTGTGCTCAGAGCCCGGGCTCTAGAAAACCCAGCAAGAGATAATGGACTAATGCAAGCATCTGTGCCCCCAGCCACCATCACATCTGCATCGCCGTGGGCTATAAATCTGAAGGAGTCTCCCACCGCATGCGCTCCTGTTGTGCAGGCTGTGGACACCGCGTGATTGGGGCCTTTGAGTTTATAGCGAATGCTGACCTGTCCCGCAGCCATATTGATCAAAATCTTAGGGACAAAGAACGGGCTGACTTTATTATAACCTTTGGTTTGAAACATCAAAGCCGTTTCAGAAACAACTTCAAGAGGAACCATGCCCATGCCAATGGCAACACCAGTCGCCATCTGATCTGCTTCTAACTTCGGATGCCAGCCGGAGTCTTTCAGGGCCAACTCTGCTGCCCCGATGGCCATGATGGTGGGAGATGACATGGACTTGGTGTCCGATTTGGGCACAAAGTTTTGTTCATTGAACTGACCTTCCTCAGTACCTCTTGGCACATAAGCAGCCACACTGCAAGGAATACTCTTGTACTGGTCACCAACGACAGAAACAATCCCACTCTCTCCTCGGAGAAGCCGCTCCCAAACTAGCTGAGTGCCAACACCAAGTGGGGTCACCAGCCCGATGCCTGTGATGACAACTCGCCTACGCGACGTGGCTGCTGGCAGAACTCCAGAAGACTGGCGTTTGTTTATTAACCAACAGCATGACGCTGGATGTGGAGGAGAGCCTGCGGCTTTTAGAAATTTTTGTAAGCCGTTGGACAACATGGTTGAAATTCACAAGATCAGAAACACGTTTATTCCTGGAACAGACCACAAGAGACAGAAAGGGTCGTTTAAACAATGGAAGGGTCTAACGATTACCCTAGATGTGCTTGCCGTCACGTGCGAAATGCTGCAGAGAAATGCCACCCTCGTTTGGACGCAACTTTCTTTTTTAAGCTACGAGGGACCTCAGGCAGCCGATAGCCAGCTCACTAGTTTTCAGGAAAATTGGACAAGGAAAACCTCGAGGCCAGCCCACTCTGATCAGATTACAGCGGGCATCCTTCTTTGGGCTCACCGAGGACTACTGTACTGTGTGGGCTGAGTCTACGTGGCACGCCCACGGCCATCGCGGGCCTATTCTGGGAGGCGCCCTCTACCTACTTCCGGAGGCCCCGTCACAGCCCTCGCAGCCGTGGCAGGCAGGCGCCCGCACTTCCCGGGGTCAGCATTAGGAGCTCTCAGGGCTCCACGATCACGCCACGCCCTTCACCCCCACCCTGAAACCCGGGTGCACTCCGACCGCGGCCGCTACCTGAAACAAGAATGCCGGCGCCCACCTTATGCGCATGCGCACACTGGCCCACAGATGCATTTCCGCCCGGAGACTGGTGCCTGGTGTCAGAGGTCGGACAAGCGGGGCAGGACTTCCGCCGGGCTCCCGGGCTGAGTTCTCCTGTCAGCCTCCTCTAGCTGAGGCATAGCGGTGACGCATTGATGTGTCGGTGTTGCCAGAGATGGGATGGAGTCATTTCCTCGGGACATTCCGGGGAGGACAAAAAGCGGTAGCCTCAGTCAGGCTCCCTGGTATCTGGGAGGAAAGCAGCTAATAGAACTCTCGAGAATGCCACACATGAAACCGAGGTCGTTTGACCAGATCATCCAAATGCCACGCAGCCACTGAAAACAATGCTGCAGGTGACAGTTTCGTAATGTGCAAAGACGCCGAGAGCATTTGTTAGCAGGCGTCAGTTGCAAAACAGAATATAGCGCTTTCAGATTTAAAGGTCTGCAAAGAAACTGGGCATGATGGTACACGCCTGCAGTTTCAGCGCTTGGGAGGTAGAGGATCAGGAACTCAATCGTCATCTGTATCCAGTTCAAAGCCAGCCTGGGCTACCTCCCTGACGACCCTGTCTTTAAATCAAAACCTGAAGTCTGTTTGTGATGGGCAGTGGTTGTGGTGTTCGGGCTCCATTTTTTCCTTGCCCTTATGTACATAGTAAACATGATGCTTCGGTAAAAATAAAACTTTTTATTGCTGACTTATGGAGGGAAGTGACTGGAATATGCCCAATATCTGACGTGGAAACAAGAAAAACACGTTTATTTCTGAACTTACGAAATTTTAACTTACTCGTTCAGAGCGGACTGTGAATCTGTAATGGGAAAGTACGACACGCAGCAACACAGCAAGGTGGTGCTTTTTAACCAGCTGCTGAAATCTGTGCCAGGTGTGAGCTTTGGTTTTTCTTCTGATGACGGATTGACCGTGCCATCTGCACTTGAATCTTTTACTCATACTGTGGTGTCCTTGTGGGTGATACCTCTTGTGGCCATTGTGGCCAAGTATACTCAAACCGTAGAAACGGATTTGGGTCAAGTTTTATCTTTTTCCTCATTACTCCTGGGTATGATTTGTTTGAAAATCTACTTTGTCTATAATAATGTTTAAGGAATCCAAGTTTGTCCTTGATCTCAGGAATCTCCACTTGCTTGGTAAGATCTCCCTGCAGTGAAAATAATGTTACTCCCTCCTGTCCCTTTTGGTAATCTGGATGTAATACTGGCAATTGCAGGCAGCCTCGGGTCTCAGAAGGTGCTGGGGTATGTAGACTGTGGAACTCTGGCTATGCAGCCCTGGAGAAGTTATACCATCATCCCTGCTGCGGTGAAACTTGCTGGTGGTGCAGACGCTTTGGAGCCTCCCACACTCCTGTAAGCAACTCCTCAGCCACACTCTGTGAGTAGCCAAATAAACTTAGAGGTATTCCAAGGTGGACTTTGGGATTCCTGCTTTGATTTATTGCTCCTGCCCTGTATTTGTTTATATCTTCAACAATTCTCCAAGCAATGCATACAGACATAAGTGATATAACAAGACTATGATCTCAACTTGTGTTTCTCTCTCTGATCATTTTATTTCATCTGGAAAGAGGTAAAGAGTTTATAAAATCTGAATAGTTGTGAGTTAGTACTGTATTTCTTGCTAAAATATCATGGTGTAGCGAACACCAATCTTCAAATTGGTATTCAAATTGCTTATCGTAGCCTCCTTTAAAAGTTCTCTTGTAAAAAAAAAAATAATAAAAAAAAGAAAAAAGTTCTCTCGTTCAAAGCTTCATTTCCAAATATAGTTCCCAAGTAAATAAACTTTCTGTCCAACAAATTGGACTTCCCACTGCTTGTAATATTATTGGAACACAAAGGAGACAAGGTGGTCAGTACTACCTCATAAACTCAGGAAATGCTTCCAACAAGTGGGCCTTGATGTCAAGCTACGAACTAAACAAATGCATGGCTAGTACCTGGGTGGAAATATGTATTCAGTAGGCACAAGACACCAGGTCCATACGGCCAGTGTCAAATTTGCTCACTAGAGCTATAGGACCTGAACTCCATTTCCAGAACTTTCTCCCTCTCTCTCTCTCTCTCTCTCTCTCTCTCTCTCTCTCTCTCTCTTTCTCTCTCTCTCTCTCCTCCCCCCCCCTCTCATATATATATGTTTTGTATGTTTTGGTTTTTAGAGACAGGGTTTCACTGTGTAACCCTGGCTGTCCTGGAACCCATCCTGTAGACCAAGCTAGTCTTGAACTCACAGAGGTCCACCTGCCTCCCAAGTATTGGGATTAAGGGGTATGTCACCAGGGCTCATAAAGGTTGGTGTTATGGTTTAGATAAAATGCTGTGGTTCCCTGAGAGCCAGCGGCAGGCCACGAGGGGCAGCCAGGTCATACCACCCGAGGCCTCTGTGGGTCCCAAGCAGGAGGGAGGCAAGGCAGCAAGTGAGAGAGACCTCAGCAGATCAGGGAGCAGCTGGTCCCAAGAGAAACCATGGCAGGTGACCTGAGACAGATAGGCATGCCATGCAGAGAGAGAGTATAGTTTATTCAGTGGGTTATGGAAGGAAAAGAAAAGGGGCGGGGGGGGGGGAGGAAGCCACAGCCACCTCTTCTGAAGAGAGACCTCTTCCAAAGAGGTTAGGGTTAGGGCTAACCTCTCTTAAAGGGACAATGTCTATTAAAGGGACAGGACAGACTATTACATTCCCATCTCTTTTTTATAATAAAAAGGCAGAAGGTTAGGCACAATAGGTTAAAGGAATTGGGACGGTGGGTTCTCAAGACTGCTTCCTTGAGGGTGTTGTCTTGGGGGGCAGAACCTGAGAAAACTGGATGCTGGTCACATCCTAGAGTAGCTGGTCTCTTTGCTCCTGTCCAGTGTTTGTGGTATGGGAATATAATGGTCTGTCCAGTCCCTTTAAGAGACAAGCCCTGACCACTCCCCCATTCTTCTACCAAGGCAAGAGGATCTTCCTTCTCCTTCCAACCTACAGGCTCTCTCTCTGTCCAGTCTCTCTTTGAAAGAGGTAGCTGTACCCTCCATTCCTGCCCCCAACTCCCCACTCTGTTCTCATTCTCTCTCTCTCTCTCTCCTTCTCTCCTCCTTCCCTTTCCTTCCATAACCCACTGAATAAACTATACCCAAACCCTCTCTCTGCATGGCGTGCCTATCTGTCTTGGGTCATCCACCATGGCTCCTCGTGGGACCAGCTGACCTGCTGACCGGCCAACGTCTCTTACTCACTGCCTCCCACCCACCTGGGACCCACAGAGGCCTTGGTAGTGGGACCTGGCTGCCCCTCATAGCCCGCTGCCACCCCTTGAGGAACTGTGCCGTTTTATCTAAACCATTTCAGTTAGTCTCACAACCATTTCCATACTCTTATAGTGGAAAGAAAGAGCCAATTCCCAAACTTTTCCTCTGATCTCCAAATGCCATGGGTAGGACATGTGTATGTTGTACTTTACACACACACACACACACACACACACACACACACACACGAAAATAATTTTAAAGCATTTTAAGATAAAAACTTGAGCTGGAGAAATGATGCCGAGGCAAAGGCTTATAGTTCAAGAGGGTTAATGGTTATAATGTGGGGGCAGCACGGCAGCAGGCAGCAAGCATCGTGGCTGGAACAAGAAGCTGAGAGCTTACATCCTTCACCATGAGCACGATGCCAAGAAAGCACACAGAAAGTAGGACACGGATATATATAACAACAAAGCCCAACCCTGGTGAGTTCTTCCCGGAAGGCTGTCCCTCCTCATGTCCCCACACTGCTACTGATGGGAACCCGGGAATTCAAATACTGGAGCCTATGGGGAGCATTTCTCATTCAGTCCACTATGTCTCGCTCCCTGGTCTTCATAGGCTCGTGGCCATGTGATGCAAAGTGCATTTAGTGCAACTTCAGTAGTCCCTGGAGTCTCTCGGTCTCAACACTGTTTGAAAGCCTACAGTCTCTTCTACGATGCAAAGCATCCCAGAATGTAACTCTCTGAAAAATCAAAAGGTAAATCACTTATTTCCAACATATGACACAGAATTTCCATTACCGTCCCAAAAGGGTGGGAGTGGAACATAGTAAGAAAGTCCTGGACCAAAGCATGAACAGAATAGCAGGACAAAGATGCTCTGCATCTTCTATCAAGTGCTTAGATAGCTCCACCCCTCCAGCGTTCCTGCCCATAGCAAACATCTCTCTCCTGGGCTGGTCCTGCCCCTTAGATGCAGCTCTCCTTGGCAGATTTCTCACATGTTGACATCTCCAAAATCTTGTGTCCACTGCAACTAAGCTTCCCTGTCACATCTCCACACACGGGACCTTCATGCAGGGACTCTCTGGCACGTGCTGCCTGGTCTCAAGGCTCTCTGAAGCCACAGAGGGAGGATATATGATTCCCTCACTCTTGTCTCCTTCATATCTAAAGCCAGCTCCATAGGACAACACAGCCAAGTACGGCTACAAGCTTAGGGTGGGGCCTTGAATCACATGAACATCAGTGCTTTTTGATTTAGCTGCTTTCTAGGATCAGAAGATTGTTATGGTAAAAATAAAACAGTGAAGAGTGGTGGCAGTGGGCAGTGGCACAACAACCCCCTCCCCCGGCTCTTCCCCTTCTCTCCTTACCTTTTTTCCCTTCCATAATTCACTAAATAAATGCCCACTTTCTCTGCATGGCATGCCTATCTCTGTCTCTCACCCACCATGTGGCTCACTGCCTGGGATCCGCTGACGCTCACGACCCTGTGGGCTATTCGGGGAACTGGGAACTGCAGCGTTTTACTACTGCAGCTTCTCATGGCCTCCTTGGGCTCTTCTGCAGCCACTTGGGGAAAGGAGCTGTTTTATTTTTACCATAACAAAGATGCCTTAGGTTGTCTTTTACACGAGGGAGGCTTGGCTAGGTGGGGGGTCTTACACAGGTCACATTTTTTCCTCTGTTTCGGGGCAGGACAAGCTTCTCCTCAACCCTGCCAATCTTCCACTCTCCAGCAAATGCCTTGGCTGTAGCATTATGCTTCCTAGCGCTCCTTTCTCCACAAACTGTATGGTTCATCTTGTTTTCTGGCCCAAATCTCCAAACTCTTTCCACAACACCCCACCCACCCATCGCACACCA